CCACTGACGATGTTCGCCCAAGGTGGGGGAACCTCGTCGACGTAGGTGCCTGTGGACTTCCAGGAAGCCATCTCTGCGTCCATGGCTGACTTCCACTAAGAGGAGTAGGGACCCTCGATCGCCTCAGCGTACGATCGAGGAGTCGGGATGTCTGGTGCATCCGGGTCTTCCTCATGGGCAATCATCGAGGACACGAGATGAGGCAAAGCAGTAGCAAAACACTGGAACTCCTCCTGTATGTCCTCAAGGACGTCCGTGCTAAGAGCACACTCACCCCCGACGGACGGAGGACAGAGAGACTCAGACTCAACAACAAGGCTAGCAGCGTAGTCTAGACAACAGCGAGCAGCGAAGTCGACAAGCTCACCAACCAAGGCAGACGCAGCAGTGGACTCAAAGGAAGGGTCATTCAAAACAGTGGCCAGGATGCGCGTGACAGTAGGACTGGGAACACGAAGAGAGTCAGACTCAGGGTCAACGAGAACAGGAAGAGAGGACTCTGGAGGAGACGGCAACGGGACACGCAGAGGAGCAGTGGAAGGACACAATGCCATCTGGTGTGTGCCTGGGACCGCAGGAGGACGCGGACGCGGAACACGACTAGTGCAAGCAGTACGAACAGGCGACTCAGAACGAGACGCAGGCTCACGACGCTCAGCAAGACCTCCAGTAGGACCAATGTACGGAGAAGGAGCAGGTAGGGGGGAGGCAGGCTGTAACTGTGACTGTGACTGGACAGACTGTGGACACTCTAGAGGAGGAGCAGGACCTGTAGAGGGCGGGAGACCATGAACCTCTAGACCCGGCATCCATAAGCTGAGCAGCTCTAATAGCACCAGAGTCAACAGCTACCTCAACACGCTCAAACGCGTCTACCTGGGACACACTTGACGGGGCAGGACCCTGAGGGGGGAGGGGGTCTACCGGGGGAGGACCCGGTGCAAGGAAGAGCGGCAGTGGGGGGAGAGGCACAGTGCGGTAGGGGAAGAGACAGTAGTAAGGCACCGACTCGTCAAAGGTGGCGTCCTGGGAGGACAGAACACGGCGCGAGGTGGGGTGGTAAAACTGCCAACCAGGCGCGTCAGGGGGGAAGCCAAGGAAGATGTAGGGAACAGCACAGGGGGACAGCTTGTTCGTAGACAAGTCGGGGACAAACGCCCGAGATCCCCAGACCCGAAACGCAGACGCATCGCCAACCTTCCCGGTCCACCACAAGGCCGGGGAGGTCTGTGGCAAGGAGACCCGGGGCTCAAGGTTGAGCTGATGCGTTGCGTACTGAACTGCAAACGGCCACAAAAAATGGGGGGCAGCCGCATGCATCATGGACGTACGAGCGACGCCCATGACTATGCCAATGCGGCGCTCAGCGTTCCCATTTTGCTGTGGAGAGGCCGGAAGCGTGAAGGTCTAGCGGATGCCCTGTGCACGACAGAAGGCTCCCAGACGGGCAGAGGAAAACTCCCCGCCTATGTCCGATTGCAGACGCAGAACAGGAAAGTCCGAGCCGAAACTCTTCCTGAGCTGGAGACGAGCTGCGCAGATCCAGTCGATCAACACCTCAATCATGTCACCCTTGCTGTCCAAGGGGAAGACGTTGGTGTAGCGCGAGTAGTCGTCAACCACCAACAGGAAGTAACGCTCGTGCCCCTATCCACGGATGCAACGTCCATGTTGAGAGTCTGCAGCGGAGCCTCTGTCGGAGGAAACTCGGAGGAGTGAGGGGCGGCGCGCTGTCGCCCCTTGATGCAGGGGACGCAGGTAGGGCCAGGCCCCAGAGGTAGGGGAGGGAGAGACCGGGGGAGACCAGAGACAAGGACACGGGAGGCCATGCCGCGGAGACGAGATAGGGAGGGGTGACCAAGATGGTTGTGCCAAAGGAGAGTCTGGTGGGACAGGAGACGAGACGAGCAGGGAGCAGAATCAGGACCAGACCTGGACGCTACAGCAAACACCTGACTCGACGTAGCTACCTGACCAAACTCAGCAGCCAGAGGAGACTCAGTAGTAAGGGTGTACAGGCTCGACCCTGGCCGACGGGTGAACGTGGCCAAGTGTCGGCCTGTCCGAGCACACGTGCAGTGGGTCACCTGCTGTCTCGCAAGAGTGAACTGGTCAACCCCCCTATCCTGTAGGTCCGCTCCACTCACCAAGTTCGTAGAGAACGAGGGGAGGTAGAGACCTGACAGGGTGCCAGGGAGGGCTGCCGGGCACGGTAAGACAGTGGAGAAGCTAGCAAGGACACTACCCCCAGAAGGGTCCGCCAGGGAGACTGTAACTGGCCGACTAAGCGGCGTAAGCATTATGCGGTCTCAAAAGAAGGAGCGGGATGCACCCGAGTCAAGGGTGAAAGTGTGTAGGGCCTGAGCCGACGTAGTACCTGAGAGAGCAGACTCATCAGCACCTAGGGCAGCAGACGCACTAGCACCTCGCGCAGCAGACGCACTAGCACCTAGAGCAGCAGCCTCACCAGCACCTAGAGCAGTAGCCTCAATGCCCGGGTCAGGCGGTACACACAGGTAACAGTCACCCTCAACACTAGTAGTCACAGCATACTTGGCAGCAAGGATAGCATCATAGTCAAGATCAAAGATGGCAACCCCCGCCCTAGACAGATCTCCCTAGCGAGGGATCTCTGACGCCTCAGGGAACTGGTGACGCCACGCATCCGTCAGGCGGCTGAAGCAGCGCTGGGTGGAGTGCAGGCCCCCGCACTGCTCACCAGCGCGGTCACCGGTACGGAGGACGTAAGTGCAGGGACCAGTACCCCCACCGCGCTGACGCGCAGCGTACCACTCACGAAGTTGCTGAGGGGACAGGGCCTCACGACCGCGCTGCTGCTGCTGGCGCGGACCACCACCTGAGCCACTCCTCTTCGCAGAGTCGCGACCAGCTCCACCGCCGCCGCCTCCGCCACCTCCGCCGCCTCCGCCCCCTTCGCCACCACCGCCGCCTCCTCCGCCTCCACTGCTGCCACCGCCGCCGCCACCCCCGCCACCACTCCCACTACCACCCCCACCCCCTCCACTGCCTCCACCACCACCTCCACTGCCCCCGCTAGCCCCTCCAGCTCCCTTGCCCCCCTTGCCCTTGCCGGTACGGCGTCTCCCGCTAGGGGCAGACGCAGCGCCGACCCCGTAGAAACCAACGAGGTCGGCAGCAACAGCAGAAGCAATTGAGGGCAAGAGGGGGGAGGGGGAACACCCCTCAAAGACGAGGGTGCGAGGGTCACCACGAGAAGCTCCTACAGCGACTATGATGTTCTCTACTGCTAGGAGGCGCTCCTCGAGGATGTCAACGGTGAGAGTGGTGAGGCAAACTGAGAGGAAGTGGTCCCTGACTAAGCGAAGAGAATCAGGGAGCCGGGTGACTATGTAATAGAGGGTGATGTACAGTGGTAGCAGAGGTAGCAGCATCGCGTGTCGCCCACTGTGAGCAAACAGTGCTGTCGGCAATAGCAGGCGGGGCAGGGGAGGCACCAGACGTGAGGTCGAACAGAGAGAGGCCGTCTGCCCTATCGCACTGAGGGCGGCGCGACGGGTCGCTAGGAGGGCGGCGACGGGGTTGCGAGGGGCCGTGAGAGAGGGGGAGGGCCGCTAAGGGGAGGGCGGCACACAAGGCGCGCCTCGGTCAGGGGCGACTCGATCTGAGGGCAGGAAATAAAATTGATGTTCAGTGATGGGCCCTAGGAAGTTCCCAGTAGGGAACCTGCTCTGATACCATGTGAGAATTTTGGAATGAATGAACTAGCACAAGTTTGGGTACAAGTAGGAAACCCTAGGAAACTGTACCCCATAGTATCTACCCCACTATAGCCTAGACAAGCTATATCATATAAGTTTGATAGTATGACTATTCGCGACACTGAAGATGCCATCATGATGTATTTGCTTATCGTACAAATCTGCTTTTCTGTGCAAAACTTGTACGAGATACACAATCATGCCGTGTAACTAGGGCTAATGATTAAGGACATTATGCTTGGTGCACAATACTTATTCCTTATGTAACTAAGAACATAAGGAATAAGAGTTGTGCACCAAGCATAATGAGTTATCCCTTGTGTCCGTTCATGGTTCAGTTGAAACGTCAATGCAATTACCGTAAGATGTTTCCCCAAGAAGAACCTTCTCTCTTGTAATTTACTGTTCTACAAAGCACTGCGGCAAAAAATGAAATGCAGATGCAAAAGTGTAGACAAACGCAAGAATTAGGGTGGACAACCCTTTGCCTCAAGCATTTGCTGCCGCGTTATCCGCAATTTCCATCGACGGACTTGACGCGCCCGTGTCAGGTGGTCAACCGGTTTCAACAGGCGTGACAAGTGGAGTTTCCACCTGCAATCTAAACTTCCAGCACGCCGTGACAATCGGTCGAGCATGTTGTGAATCGTGAATTGTGGCGTGATCCACTTTGCCCTCGCAGGTTGGGAAAATTGCAGGAAATCGAGTTCGCCAGCCTCATCTTTACAGTAACCAGCGTCGCGACGCTCGCCACTCCACCGTCGCAACTCCCTGGCCTCACGGAACAGCGAAGCTCACGGAACAGCGAAGCTCACGGAGTTCACCTGGCGCGAAAGTACATTTCCCGCCAACTATGAGTTCCAACCATTTCCTGTGTTTACTTGTTGAGCAAGTGCGAGCCGCGTTCTCACCACCCTCCTATAAAACCACCCGTCCCTACCATCGTTATCATGAGTTCTCATATCGATAATCATTCTCTGTTTGCTACGATTTCCTCTTCTTTTTTCCTCGTCATCCGCTCCTCTCATTGGTTCGTTACGTCGGATTCACAATGGGTTCCACGATGCGAGGCATATCTTTGCCGCTGCTGCTTCTCGCGCTTTTCGTAGCGTCAGTCTCCGTCGCGCCTGGTAAGATCCCGCGACTTGTATCACGGCCTTTTCACCAAAAACAGTTTCCTTCTCCCACATGAAACTTACGTTTCCTCGCACCTTCTCCCCTTTCGCGCAGTTTTCTTTTCTGATACTCTGAATTGGTAAGATGTCGCCCAATTCTTCCGCGTTTTCTCCTTCTCGCGCAGTTTTTGGAAGGACCTTATCTACTCGTCGCAGCCTCGCCCTCAAGGCCCTCTCGCTCGTGAGCTTTCCGGGATCGTCAACCATTACTCTGCTAGCAAATCCCGGAGACACTGGCGGAGATATCGGCGGAGATACCGGCAGTGGCGGCGAAATTGGGGGAGGGGGCGATGCGGGGGAAGGCGGAGAGCCTGGCGGACCTGGCGGAGACGTCGGCGGCGATCAGGGCGGTCCTGAGGGCCCCCCTGGTGGCGACAACGGGGATACCGCCAGTGGCGGAGATCCCGGCAGTGGCGGTGACGTTGGGGGAGGCGAGGACGGCCCGCCACTGATCGGCGCTGGCGGAAAGGGAGGAAAGGGCGGAAAGGGAGGGAAAGGTGGAAAGGGCGGAAAGGGAGGAAAGGGCGGAAAGGGAGGGAAAGGGGGCAAGGGGGGAAAGGGAGGGAAACCTGGTAACCAGCAGGGTGGAGCTGGCGGAGAGCAGGGGGAAGCTGGCGGAGAGCAAGGGGGAGCTGGCGGAGAGCAGGGGGGATCTGGCGGACAGCAGGGAGGATCTGGTGGAGAGCAGGGCGGGGCTGTTGAGGAGCAGGGGGGGTCAGGGGGGGCGGATGGTAGCCAGACTGGGGGCATAACGAGCACCGGAAAGGGCGGAAAGGGAGGAAAGGCTGGGAAGGGCGGAAAGGGTGGGAAAGGAGGGAAAGGGAGCAAGGGGGGAAAGGGAGGGAAACCTGGTAACCAGCAGGGCGGGCCTGGCGGAGAGCAAGGTGGGGCTGGCGGAGAGCAGGGGGGATCCGGCGGAGACCAGGGGGAACCCGGCGGAGAGCAGGGGGAATCTGGTGGAGGGGCTGGCGGGGAGCAGGGTGGGGCGGATGGTAGCCAGACTGGGGGCACAACGAGCACCGGAAAGGGCGGAAAGGCTGGGAAGGGCGGAAAGGGTGGGAAAGGAGGGAAAGGGGGCAAGGGTGGAAAGAAATAAAAGCTTTTGCAACACATAGGTTGTACCACTGTTTCTTCTTGTACCATTATTGCAGCCAAGTCCATATATGCTGTACTTTCCGAAACCTTCGTGTAAGAATGCCAAAGCACAAAGAGACAGAAAAAACCTTCCCTGGTTTTTCTTCATTTCGGGATGCTCCGTGCATGGTTCACATGGGGGGTCATTGCAGCCTCTGTATCATTGCATGGTTCTTTGTGTCTCGTGTAACCCTCAGTACTCCAACCGAACATCGCCACAAGCTAATATTTTCTCATGTGTCTCTCATTCCAGGATGCTGCGTGCATGGTTCACATTGGGGGTCATTGCAGCCTGCGTCGCCTTCCTATTGGCCTCTCTGGTGCGTGTGTGCATACAACCCTCCCTCATCTCTCCCCATTCGCATTCACATGGGGGGTCATTGCAGCCTGCGTCGCCTTCCTATTGGCCTCTCTGGTGCGTGTGTGTGTGCACGAAACCCTCATTTTTTACCATTCTTATTCGCACGCGCTGGGACCGTCGAACGAATTTTGAGGCGCCTCAAACGTTCCCATTGTCATTGTGCGTAGGTGCCTCGAACGCTTCTATACGAGTGTATTCATGCCACTCTGAATGCAGCACGTATCGTATCGTATCGTATCGTATCGCATTGCATCGCATCGCCTTCATGTTGGCCCTCTGATTCGTGGATTGCATGCATCAAACTCGACAAATATTTATTTGTTTCATGCTTAGGTCCCCCCTCCCTTCCCTCCCTCCGTTCCCTCCCTTCCTTTCCCTCCCTTCCTTTCCCTCCCCAGGTTCTTCTATGGGACGGCCTTGTTGCTTCCCTCCTCGTCCCTCTCCTCCGCCACCTCTCCACCTCATCCCAGCACCTAGCGGAACAGCAGCGCTTTTACCCTCATACCCACTCTCACAACCACTCTCACTACAGTCACATCCCTTCTGCTGTAAACACCTCTTTCGGACCTTCCTCTCCTGTCGTCGCCCTCTCTAGAGCAACGGGTGCTGCAGCGTCCCTTGCAGCACAGCAAGCGTCCCATGCAGCACAGCAAGCCGTCCAAGCAGCAGAGCCACACCCCACTGCCCCAGCAGAGCCAGCAACGTCCGCCACTCCTGCTGCGACCTCTTCCTCCCTGCATCTTCTACAGCCTGTGGTGAGTGAGTGAGTGAGAGATTGAGTGAGTGAGTGAGTGAGTGCTGAGGAGGGCTGGCACTGGCATTGGCACTGAAAGCGTGCCTTGCAGCACAGCAAGCTGTCCAAGCAGCACAGCAAGCTGTCCAAGCAGCACAGCAAGCTGTCCAAGCAGCACAGCAAGCTGTCCAAGCAGCACAGCAAGCTGTCCAAGCAGCACAGCAAGCTGTCCAAGCAGCACAGCCACACCCCGCTGCCCCAGCAGAGCCAGATGCGCATGCTGCACGGCAAGCAACCGCCCCTGCCTCTGCTGCGACCCCACCATCCTTGCTTCACGTGTTACAGCCAGTGGTGGTGAGTGAGTGAGTGGGTGGGTGAGTGAGAGGCGCATGCTGCAAGGCAAGCAACCACCCCTGCCTCTTCCCTGCCTCGACCCCATCGTCCTCGCTTCACGTGCTGCAGCCGGTGGTGAGTGAGTGAGTGGGTGAGTGAGTGGTGGTTGGGTGAGTGGGTGGATTGAGTGAGTGAGTGAGTGAGTGAGTGAATGTGTGAGTGAGTGAGTGTTGAGGGGGGCTAGTACTAGCACTGGCATTGCAAGCGTCCCATGCAGCACAGGCACAGCAAGCCTTCCCATTCCAAGCAGCAGAGCCACACCCCACTGCCCCAGCTCAGCCAGATGCGCATGCTGCACGGCAAGCAACCGCCCCTGCCTCTGTCTCTGCCTCTGCCTCGACCCGACCGTCCTCGCTTCACGTGCTACAGCCTGTGGTAAGTGAACGAGTGCGTCTGTGAGTGGGTGAGTAGGTGGTGAGTGAGTGACTTAATGATTGAATTGAGTGTTAGTGAGCTGGTGGGTGGGTGGTGAGAGCTGAGGACAAGTGGGTAATCCTTACCTGTCCTTACTTCCACCCCTCTTGTTCGTTGCTTCCTTCACTCCACCTCCCCATTTCTCACTCTCCTCTCACCACTTCACCCCCCTCTCCTTTTCCGCCCCCCTCTCCACCTCTCTCCCCCTCCCTCCCTCCCTCCCTGCTCTTTTCCTCCCCCGAACCGTTCCATACCTGGCCCCCACGTGGAGCAACAGCTGCCAGGTGTCAACATGCCATTGGCCGATCTCGGGTACCTCTTTATAGCCACGCTTATCAGCCTGGCGTGGCATGAGGCAGGGCACGCCGTAGCTGCTGCCGTGGGAGTGTAAGTGTCGTGGGAGTGCGTGTGTGTGTGTGTGTGTGTGTGTGTGTGGTGTATCTAGTGGTGTGATAATACATGCTAACATAGGGGGCTGCTTATCAGCCTGGCGTGGCACGAAACAGGCCATTCTGTTGCTGCTGTTGTGTCAGTGTAAGTGTCATATGTGTGTGTGTGATTCTGGGTTTTTTAGGCGCCTCAAAAGTTGTCATATGCGCGTGTGATTCTGGGTTTTTTAGGCGCCTCTGAAGTTGTCATGTGCGCGTGTGATTCTGGGTTTTTTAGGCGCCTCAAAAGTTGTCATGTGCGCGTGTGATTCTGGGTTGAAGTGTGGCTGTGTGAGACGCCTCAAGTCAGCTTGTGCGTGGGAGTGTGGGGTTGTCCGCATGAGTGCAAGCTGTCATGCTTGAATGTCACACGAGTGTGGGAGGGAGTGCGAGTGCAGCATGATGTGGCATGCGTCCTCCTCGCCCTGCTCCTTAATCTGTTGTAACTCTTCCAATCCCTTCACCCCAACCCCCCCTCCCTCCCGCACATTTGTCCACCCCTGTCCGCTACCCACAGAGAGGGAGTGAGGGTGCAGCACGTGGCGTGCTCCTCCTCGCGCTGCTGCTCCCCAGTCTCTTCCCCCTGCCAACCCATTTCTTTCCCCGCGTCTCGTCTCACTACAGGGAGGGCATGCTCCCAGGAGTCCACGTCGCCTTCCATCCCTCTTGTAGCTCACTTTCCTGTTTTCCCCTCCTCCCTCCCTCCTCCCCCGCTCCCCATTCAGAGAGGGAGTGCGAGTGCAGCACGTGGCATGCTTCCTCCTCGCTCTGCTGCTCCCCGGAGCACACGTGGCCTTCCATCCCGCCGACTTCCACGCCCTGCCTCCCTTTCGCTTGCTGCGAATCCTCTCAGCCGGCATATGGCACAACATGGTGGTGAGTGCTGGCATATGGCACAACATGGTGGTGAGTGCTGGCATATGGCACAACATGGTGGTGAGTGCTGGCATATGGCACAACATGGTGGTGAGTGCTGGCATATGGCACAACATGGTGGTGAGTGCTGGCATATGGCACAACATGGTGGTGAGTGCTGGCATATGGCACAACATGGTGGTGAGTGCTGGCATATGGCACAACATGGTGGTGAGTGCTGGCATATGGCACAACATGGTGGTGAGTGCTGGCATATGGCACAACATGGTGGTGAGTGCTGGCATATGGCACAACATGGTGGTGAGTGCTGACATATGGCACAACATGGTGGTGAGTGCTGGCATATGGCACAACATGGTGGTGAGTGCTGGCATATGGCACATCCAAGCACTGCTCTTCTTCCTCTCTACTCCCAGTCGCCCCCCAGGCCTTAAGGTACGCCCCTCCCTGCATGTCCCCTTCCTCCCCTCTCCTCTTCTCTCATATCCCCTCCTTCCGTTTCCTTCCCATCCAAGCACTGCTCTTCTTCCGCTCTACTCCCAGCCCCCCCCCAGGCCTCAAGGTACGTCCCTCCCCGTATGTCCCATTTCCCAGTAAAGAACGACTCTGCGTTTGCTTCAAGCCGTGTGCCTCAAGCCGTGTAACTCCACCATGCCTTTCCCCCCGTTATAGTCACATATGACATCCGTGTGTGGTTTCTTCCCACCCCACCCCCAGGTTACATCTGTGCATCCGCTCTCCCCTCTCTTCAGTCACATTCGCCCAGGAGACTCCTTACTAGTACTTGACCACACTCCGCTTTCCTCTCCTGCCGACTACACTCACCTCCTCTCCCATCTCTCCCACCTCTCCCACCTCTCCTACCCTCTGCCTCCTTCGATCCCTCCCTCGCCTCCTTCCCATGGGTATTGCATTTCCCTCTCGGCCAATCACAAGCTGCCACCTGGATTCCTGACTCCTCCAGCCTTTCCAGCCAATGGTAGCATCCCACCAATAGCTTCATCTGGACCAATCCCCAGCTCTTTCCTAGAACCTTCCCACCAGCATCCTCATCATTCCAACATGGAGCCATTCCCACCACCTCGGCCAATCTCCTGTGATGCCTCGTTTCCTGGAACCATCCTTTTCTGGCAAGCCCCAGCTGGCGATGCGGAACCTTCCTTGCCGATTCCTGGCAGTGAACCGCACCAAGAGGAAGCTTCCGTTCAGTTTCCTGATGATGAATCGCAGAACCAAGAAGAAGCTTCTCAGATGGTTCCTACTGCGGCATGTTTGCGTCCGAGAGAAGTGGTGGAGGGAGGGAGGAGATGCGGATGGGGGTGGATGGGTGATGATGGGGAGGAGGAAGGGAAGGACGAGGGGAAGGAAGAAGGGAAGCAAGAGGGGAAGCAAGAGGGAAGGCAAGAGGGGAAGCAGCAGCGTCAATGCGATAAGGTGAGTGTGAGAGATCATTGAGATAGATACCCTCAGAAAAAGCACTGAGAGATATTCTCTGCCTGCTCCCTAAATGCGCGTCTCTCAGTGCCTCTGAAGGACGTGCTCCTAAGAGCAAGCTCGTTATTTCGGGGGGAAAGGGGGGGGGGATATGCTCTCCTCAGAACAAGCACTAGAGGACATGCATTTAGGGAGCAGCGTGACAAGGGGGGAGAAAATATGCTATCTGTTGTGTTTGAGTGGTTTGATTTTCTTTTCTTCTCTTTTCTTTTCTTTTCTTTTCTTTTCTTTTCTTTCGTTTTCTTTTCTTTTCTTTTCTATTCTGGCCTGTATGTCATGCCAAAACCATCTTCTGCTCCTTTGTTGCTCTTTGTGCGGCTTCAAATCTCTTTCCTCTCGACATCATCCCATCATCCTCCCTTCCCTTCACCCTTTGCCCATGGCCAGGTTTCCACCTGCATGCATGGCCCCTGCACTTTTCCATCACCATCTGCTGCTCCTAGTACGGTTTCAGAAATCTTTCTTCTCTTTCTCCTTGTTTTGTCCTTCCCTCACGGCCAGGGATCCGTCTGCATGGCCCCAGTCCTTCCTCATCACCATCTGCTGCTCCTAGTGCAGTTTCAGCCCTCCCCCTACTCACCCTCCTCCTCCTCCACCTCTTCCTCCTTTTCCAGTTCCTCTCCTTCCTCCTCCACTTCCTCCACTCCCTCCTCTCTAGTGTTTGTGGGAACCATTGAGTCCTTTGCACAGGGCCTCTCTTTCCCCGTGGCATCCTCGCACACTCACTCTCCCTCTCACACTGCCTAACCTTGCACTGGAACACCGAAAATTGTTGCATGCACCAAGCCAGCCTGCTGCTGCTAGCATGCTGCAGAGAGAAGAGCAGCAGCAGCAGCGATGGCAACTAAGGAAACCGCAGCCGGAGCAGGGAAAAGAGCAGCAGCAGCACTGGCAGCAGGTGCTTCAGCAGGGAGAGGAGCAACAGCAGCAACTGCTGGAGCAACAGCAGAGAGAGCAGGATCAGCTGGAGAGCGAGGAAGGAGAAGAGAAGCATCATAACCGTTCATTTCTGTTACCAGCATCGCCACCATCGATGGTTCAGATTTCAGCGCCATTGTGGGGCCCTGTGGTGGTGACACGTATCGCTCTCTTTGTCTTCCACGTGTCCAATGCTCTCGCCCTCATCAACACTGCTCCGGTGAGTATTATAAGTTACTTATGATCAATTCAGACCGAAAATTGTAGCAGTATCGTCGCTTTTGCAAAAATCAAAGGATGTTGCGCTTAGGTGGCTGCGTTCCCTCATTCTCTACTGTTCCATTTCCTTTTCTCACCTCAACTTTTCATTTCCTTTACTGTTCTATTGGAGGTGATGTCGCTACAAGGAATCACCTCCAATGCCACTGTTGACTGTTGTATCTCCTTGTCTCCATTCCGTCCTCACTATAAAGTTTTCTTTCTCAACCAACACGCCCATAGCCTCTTCCTCCCATCCCATTCATCTATTTCGTCATCTGCCCACACCCCTTCCCCAACCTGTTACCGCTTGAATTTCCTCCTCAATTTCTTTCAAACCTCCTCCACCTGCTTCTCCCATTTCCCTCACATCCTCTTGCCTCACATCCACACCTCAGGCACCAACAACAAATTATTCGCCACCATCGTATTCTCACTAGTGTACTTTACGGTGGCTCTTTCCTTCTTCTCGTCTCCCTGACTCAATCTACTGCATCTATTTCTTCATTTCTACCCTCCCCTCTCTTCCCTTCTCCCCTCCTTCCTGTTCCCGTTCAGATTTTCTTCCTTGATGGAGAGGCCATTCTCTCAGACTTCCTCCGCCTGGTTCTCCCTTTTCCCTCGCATCCTCTCTCCTCCCATCCTCTCTCCTCCCATCATCTGCACCTCCGTCACCAACAGCAAATCATTCGCCACCATCGTATCCTCACGAGTGTCCTTTATGGGGGCTCTTTCCTTCTTTTCGTCTCCCTGGCTTCATCTATAATGTTTTCTCATACATGAACTGACCGGATTTCCTAGTCCCGACCCAAACATGTCATCACAATGTACCGCATGAGTGTATTCATCAGGCCCTCAGATTGGTTTGAGGGTATGCTGATGGATCAGCGTGCCCCTGCCAACCAGGTGTCCAAATCAGCGTTGGTGGTTTTCTTTATACTGATACTGTCAGTGTAATTTTTTTTCCTAAACTGAACCTGCAGTGTAAATAAACCAAAAAAGCAGAGCTGATGCAACAGTGCATGGATGCGTCCAAAGTTACCATTGTGACAAACAGCAGCACCAATACCGCATGCTGGCTGAATCTACCACTAACAAACTAGCTCATGTCATGTCTTCATCAGAAGAAACGCTTGCATCATCACCACTGCTACTGGCATCGTCATCACTCTCACTGCCATCGCCTGCAGAACCACACATGCCCTCGTCTAGGTCCTCCTCCACCACCCGGCGGCCACTCCCCTTAACAAACTTGGCCTTGGCCCGCTCCTTCTCTGGCGCAGCTTGCTCCTTGCGCTTGCTGGGGCGCCTTTTCCTGGTGCTCCGCCAGATGTCCAGCACCTTATCCCACTCCATGTCGTAGTCGAGCAGACTCATTGCCAGCAAATCTCCCAGCTTGGCGTTGCAGAGACTCGTCCAGCGCCACGACTTGATCACATTCTGGCGGGAAAATCCGCGCTCGCACTCGACTGTGCTGAGAGGCAGAACAGCGACCGCAGCCCACAGACGGACTAAGTTGGGGTAGCTGGTCTGCCAGTCGTTGGTCTGCAAGATGGGCTTCAAACCTGCGTGAAAGGGCTGCTCTTCCTTGGGGGCAGTGGAGAGCACCGGCAGGAACGTGCGCAGCTCCACTCGTGCCGCACGCTTCTGGACACCTGCGAAACGGGTTGAGCACAACCAGGGTAGAAAGTCAAGCGCACAACATGGGAATAATGCAACCACGAAAACGGCAATGCATACACGCAGGTCAGTGGGAATCTATTTCTTGCTCACCAGGCAAGATCGTGTCCCGGTTCTTGGCCTGATACAGATGGACGAGGCCGTGCAGGTGTGCTCCTTGCACTCTGCGTCTCTTGCCTCGACGCCCCTCGGCCACGAGCGGGGCATGAAGAGCTTCGCCCCGTTCAAGCGCGTCAGGTCTCCCAAGCGCAGCTCGAGGTTGTACACCAGCTCGCGGGTGAATGAGCGGCAGCAGGTGTAGCAGCCTTGCATCTCCCCGCTGCTGGTGGTGTATCCCTTGACTGCCTCCTCGTGCAGCTGGAACTTGTGTACACGGGGCTGACCCTCCTTATCCACCCCTTCCACAGTCACTTCACGGCAGTCGGGCAAGGCGTGCCGCGCGAGGAAAGCAGACAGCAGCTCGCTGGTCCCACCGCCAAACTGCTGGCCACAGTTTAGGTACCTCTGCTCCATGTAGATGATGGTCCGCCTCACCTGGGAGTGCACTGCAGTGAGGTCGACCTGTTGGTGGGGGGAGAATCGGTACACCGAAACAAAAGACAAGTACCTGGGAGAAGAAGAGAACTGCAAAACGGAACTCAACAACTCACCTGTCGCTTCTGGAATAGCAGGTTGAGCGCGTTGAGTGCCGTGTGCACATCTGCCAAGAAGAACAGGAAGTAATGAAACTTGAACGACGTTACTAAGTGGTACATTGTCTTGTCCGACTCCTCGAGCATAACGATGACAGCAGGCAGAACGCGTACGAATCGTGCGATTGCATCGCCGCAACTCAACCAGTGGACGCTGTGGATCCCCTGGACCTCGAGGTTGGTATGCGTGAACAATTCCTGCAGCTCCTTGAACTTGCGGTTGGAGTTGCTGGATCTGCCGAGATCTTCCGCCACTGTGCGGATAACCGCGTCGATTATGCCGAGCTCGGGTAGTGCCTTAGCCACCTCCTTTGCAGCAAGCGCTTCCTTGCCACAGGTAGAAATGCACGGGTGGGGGTGTTAGAATTCGCACTGCGACATACCACATTGCACATCTCATACCGCAACAACACCACCACAGCAAAAGTTTACCTGTGTGTGTGATGCAGTGAGAAGCCACCACGTGCGGGATCTCCAGTCGAAGACGCCCAACGAGGCCCGTGTCTTTGCTTATCATCACAGGTGCCCCATCAGTGCTGATACTCGCCACCTTCTCCAGCGGCAGGCTAATACTGTCAAGGAATCCCGTGATCTTAGCATAAAGAGATGCTGCATCACACTTCTCGACGGAGAGGTTAGTCTGAAACTCTGTGGTGACGGCATGCTCACGCAGAAAGGTTACAAACACAATCATGTGCTTCCCTTTGACGCGGTCCGTACTCTCGTGGCAGCTTAGACCAATGAATGGATTCCAATAAATGAATTCTCTCTGGCGCGCACGAAGGTATGTCGCTATTGCTGCAGTGATCTCTTCAAATCCGTACCTGCACGCGCATCAACGCATGTGGTTAGTGATAGCTTCACGTATATCACATCCCCCGACGATATGTACTAGAGCAGTGTCACTTACGTCGTGGAGTAGGCACCATAACTGTCGAACACTATATGTGTTGTTGTTGGGTAGGCTATAGTGGGTTAGCCTTTAGGGGGTACACAAAACTAGGGTTTGATACTTGTACTCCACTTTTTCATAGTTCACATCACTTCTCATTCTGACATGGTATCAGAGCTTAGGTTCTAGACCTAGGACTCACCTAAGGGCCCACCGTTAGAAGCGCCCTCGAGCGCCCCATCGTCCTAGCGCCCTCGAGCGCCGTTCGCCTAGTGCGCCCTCGTGCGCCTCGTCTTCTCCTGCTGCCTGTGCGCGGCTCGCTAGTGCTGCGCACGACCTTTTTTTTTCGCGCGCGCCGCTCTCTAGCCTGCTGCTCCCTCAGGTGTTTCCCAGGTAGACCCGGTCGAGCCTGTCGAGGTAGCTGTTGACTCTGGTCTTGTGCAAGGTACTGAGCGTGCTGAGCCTGGGGGTGCTAGGTCTGGGGGCGCTGAGACTGGGGGTGCTGAGTCTGGGGGTGCGGAGACTGTGGGTGCTGAGCCTGACGGGACTGTGGGTGGGGGCTTTCAGACTGACCGTGCTGCGCCTGCTGGCGCTCCTTCCTCTCACCAACTGCGTGAGTGGTACTCCCAGTGTTACAGCCTTCGTCATGGGGCTCCTAGAGCTGGGGGGTCTGCTGGAGTTGGGACTAGTCGTCCTGCGGGTGCCGTGTCGTAGCCGGAGCCTCCCTCCCCTCAGCGGCTGCGTGAGTGGTACGCTCGGCGCTGCAGCCTCCGGAGTGGAGCTCCTGGTGTTGAGGTACCACCCGCTGGAGACGCTACCACTGCTGGAGGTCCTAGAGCTCCTGGCGGTGCCGCTGGTGCTGCTGGAGGTGCTGACGGTTCTGCTGGAGTTGCTGGAGGTACTGGAGGTGCGAGGTGCTATTGGAGCTGCTGGAGGCTCTACTGGAGCTGCTAGAGGCACTGGAGGTGCTCGAGGTGCTGCTGGAGCTGCTGGAGGTTCTGCTGGAGCTGCTCGAGGCACTGGAGGTGCTGGAGGTGCTGCTGGAGGTTCTGCTGGAGCTGCTGGAGGTTCTGGTCCTGTCTCTGCTGCTGCTGGAGGCACTTCATGGCTATGGCCGTACTTCGTTCCACTCCTTTAGCAGGTTCTTGGTCAGCCGCCTCCTCCTATTCCTCCCCCCTCTGTAGAGTGTCCTCCGCCTGTCCAGTCCCAGTCACAGCTTCCACTTGCCTCGACGCTTCCTGGTCCTCCTCCCTACACTGGTCCGACAGGCGGTCTTACAAAGCGTCGTGAGCCTGAGTCTCGTCCTG